CTGGGGAATTCTGGGAGTTGAAGTCCACTCATCTTAAAGTGGCCAAGTTTGGACAACACTGCCGTAGTCAGATTGCCTGTTTTGAGAGCACCCATCTCTTGCTAGTCTTGGTCATTTGATCTTCATCTCCCAAAGCAGGGTGAACATAGCTACATGTGCCCTTTTAACAAATGGTGCACACCATACAAAGTATGGTTGTTAATTACTATGATTCTCCAGGAGCAAGCAAAAGTTATTTTGGAGAACTTCTGAGGAGGATATTGCAAAAGCTGCTTAGTTTGAGTACTGTTAGAGGCAGGCTAGAGAAGCCATCTGTTCCAGAAGCAGATGATGAAGTCTGCCTAAACAGCATGACAGCTGTCCACTTTGGACATTGACTAGGTTTCTAACGTTGATGCTGCTGATGCTGAACAGTGTGGTTGTGTCACATCTCTTATAGCTAGAAAAAAATCCTGTTGGGAGCAAATTTCAGTCCAAGACAAATGCTAAGCAGAAAAACAGAATCCCATAATGCACTGCCACAGCGTGATTTGTTGTGGTGTAGATTAGGTTGTATAACATGTTAACCAATGGTTATATCATAGAGTCTCTGAAGTAAGAGATATGTGCTGCAGAAAAAAGTGTGGTTCTCTTTACCAAAAGTAAGAGGCTATGCAGTGCCATTTGCTTTGGTGAAGCACTTCGCATTGCCTCAATTCTCCCTGTCTGTCACCTATTGCTTGTGAAAATCAAGAGAGGCTTCTGTGTAGTCACTGCATAGGCAGCTCTTTGGATTCTGACAAGGGCAAGCTAGAGAAGACAGAGCTGTTCTTTGACACAGCTTGCCAAAGCTTTTGGCAAGCAATTGTAAAGGGCAGAGGGAATGGCCTTGAAGGACAGGAGAAAGAGCCACTACCAAGGCGACAGTCAAATAAAAGAGGCCTGAGCCCGGGGTCAAGACAGTGAGTAACTGTCTCAGACAAGCCCCTCCCTAGTTCACACAAGGATAAAGGGAGGGAGGAGGGAAGCACATTCAGAATTATTCATTTACTGTAGCTTTACAATAAAAGTAGTACCAATCTACATGACAATGGTTTCGTAGTCTGGTCTACCTTGAAGGGCTGACAGTGATCCAGAGGGAGCAAGGAGTGTGTCCTCCGCAGCGCTCACCAAAACCTTTAGCAAACATTGCCAGAGGAGGCAAGTAGAGCATCATCTGCCTCCCTTGCCAGGTCTGGAGGATGAGCAACATATTTTCCAATAGCTCTTGCCAAAGCTTGGTGAGTGTTGCCAGAGAAGCTGCATGGCTGTGCACAGTGGAACAAAACAAAGCCAGGTGGTCACTTCACTTTGTTCTTAACAGTGAAGCCGCCCCATTGCTTCACGAAGCAGTTCTGAGAAAGGGCTTCACTCAAATGTTTATCTAAGTCAAGCACCCCCTGGAAGATCCGCATAGCCCTATTATATCGTTGCCAATCTGTCTGCAAAGAGGAAGTGATGGAGAATGAGCAAACCGAGTTTGTGGACTTCTCTGGCCACAGACTTTGTACTTGCACTTTCTGGCATGTTAGTGAGACTTCAGCAAAAAGAACCAAGTTGCTGAGCAAGAAGAGTTATGGAAGCATTAGGGATGTGCTCATGTCATAGGGGTGGGTGGGTGGTGTGAAAGATCCCAGGTTACTCGCCTATCTCCTCCTGAGCCATTCTACTTAATTGCCTGAAAAGGAGATACTGACCCCACAGCTGGATTATCTAATTTATCTAGGTTTGGACTGTACTGGACAACAGGCCGGTAGTTGGTTTTATATCCAGCTCCAAAATGGAAACCATTCCGAGGATGAAAACCTTCCTGACCTGCGGGGAAAAAGGTTTGTCAATATTACACTCCCAGCTCCAACACCATTTTTCCATCAATGCACTGTAATAATTTATAATACAAAATAGCAGCTTAACAAGAGTTCTAACACTGAAGATGAAATGTTGAAAACATGTTTTGATATCTTCTCCAATGGCTATGATAGGGGGCTTGATTGCTCCTTTACAAAATGGCAGCCTGGCTGAGAGTGGCCATTTCAGCTGGTGAGTCTGCCCTCTGCCAACCAGCACTCCAGTTTAGTGTTATCATTTTTTCTGGGCAGGTCTACAGATTAGCAAACCAAACTCATGGCTGCAGCCCCTCCCATGTTTCTTTTTGAGAATGAATAGGGGGGCGATGTTTGGGGTCCAGAATTTTTGGAAATAAAGATATCGCAGGTTACTATTTTGCTTTGTGAAAGGAAAAGGGAAAGGAGAAAAGGAAAAGGAAAAGGAAAAGGAAAAGGAAAAGGAAAAGGAAACAGAAACAGAAAAGGAAAGGCTGCCTGCAGACACCATGCTGGGGAACCCAGCATTATCATTTAATTAACCCAAAACACCAGGAAAGAGAGAGGAAGATAGATAACAGTAATAAGCAATTTCAAATACAAACTTTTACACAATATTATATGATGAATAATGTTATATGATGGTTGCTGCATATAATACAAAGTGACCAATTTACATAAGTTTTATTACATTTATATAGATACAGATTTAATTATATTACATAGTGTTGTTATCTTTCCCATTTCTTCCCAATTTCAAGCATGGCAGTGTATGGATGTGGAAAAAGGAGAGTAGGTTATAATAGGAAATATATGTAAGGGACAATATGTCTGAGACAGGGAAGACAGATAGTAAAGCAAGGATAAAGATGCATGGAAAGTAAATATAGTAAGCTGGATCCCGTGGGATTCACTTCTGATCAAACATATTTAGGACTTAGTCGTTTATTCTGTGTATCTAAGCATGTTATTGACATTTTTTAGAACAAACCCTAAAGAATCTCACGTTTGTCCTTTCCTCTCTGTTCATGGGCCACAGTTACTAACTTCTAGTTTTTGATCTGGACAGGCAAACTATACTTCGCACTTTCTTGCAATCCAGGATAGCAAACAAGGTTCAAATCCTAGTTTTTAGACTAACTGAGGAGAATAAATTCTTTTCTACTGTATATAGCTTAGAATCTTACCATAAGCTGCACCGTAGCTGGTGCAATAAAATTTCATGGGATCCATACTTCCACCAGAGCTTGTTTTTACATAGGGAGAAATAATCCCTAAGGGGAGACGTCCCATCTTCTCTGTGGATACAGAAAGAGATTTTGTGATACAAGATTTTCCTTGAGAAACAGTTATTATAGAGGACTGGCCACTGATCATTCTGGATAACCCAGAAAGCTGTTGAGAATCAGAAGGAAAAATCAGCTTGGCTTGGCCAAGTATTTATTTAGACTGTTTGTGCCTCCTAGAAACAGAGTGAGCTCATACACAGTTCTGTGACCTCACAGAATCTTAAGATTTAAAAAAACAGTTTAATAAAACGAGTGCAATAAGGATAATACAACAAAATGGCCTTAGCATTCCTGTTTGACACTATATGGCATAATACTGATTTTATTTATTTGATTATTTAACAACATTTCTATGTCTCCCCAGTTGGATGGATGGATGGCTTGCAATAATTAAAGCATTTAAAGCCATACACACATAACTGGAATAATAGGATATAATTATTAAATAGACCCAGTGAATAAATTTTAGTTATAGCAACTCTCAATAGATAAGATCCTGAAGCTTTGCAGAATATACTCATTTAAATTTTTTTCTTAAATGTCTACCCCCCGCCCCCCAGGCCTGAGTCAATAACAGAAAAGACATATTTTCTAGTCTCCATCTCTTTAGCTTCATAAGGGGTGGGAACCCACCGCATACCTTGCTGATTCAATCATGTAGAAAGGGCAGATTCAATCTGGAACAGGTTATACCTCAGTAGCCAAGACCCAAGCCATAAAAGGCTTTATAGGTGATAACTAGCACTTGGAACTGTACCCAGAAACCTAAAGATAGCCACTACAATGACCAGAGGAAATGTGTGGTCAACCACATTGAACAAATTTTCACCAGTCAGCACACAAGTGGCTACATTCTCTACCAGCTGAAATTTCTGAATATCCCTCAGAGATGGCAACAAGCAGAGTGTGCGTTGCAATAGTCCAAGCATATGGTAATGAAAGCATGAGTTGTTGTAGCCAGCACATATGATTCTGGCACACTAGCTGAAATTAGGCAAGGGTTTTCTTGGCCACAGCTTTCACTAACTGTTCCAGCAGGAGCTGAAGGCCCAAGTAAACTCCCAGATGACAGACCTGCTTCTTGCAGGGGAGCACAACCCCATCCATTCTAGAAAATAAAAAGCCCTTAGTTTTGTCTCTTTATTCCAAGGTAGAGAAGTATGTCTGAGTATCATCAGCACAGTTATGGTATTTTACCTCAGCTGAGTGGATAACATCTCCCCGGAGGGCATGAGGGCCTCCGCACAGTCACTCATGCCCTGGTCACCTCCGGGTTGGACTACTCCGGGTTGGACTACATGGGGCTACCCTTGAAGAGTATCCGGAAGCTACAGCTGGTACAGAATGCAGCGGCG